AAATGTTGAGATAAATACAAAGGGGGTCATGGAGATTTTTTTAAAAAAAATAACCTTTCATTCTCTGTGGCGACTGTGGCTGTTATTCCAGGAAGACAAATTAGACTAACTTTTCCTTTGGTAACTGTACAAATCATAAAGTCAATAAATTACAAATGCTTTTTAAATGAATAAGTTAATGAATGTGGTATATGAAGTGAAATGTAATTAAAATTTTAAAGTTATAAGTCTTTAAAGGATAAAGTGAATTAACTGCACAGGCTTCATAAATGAATTAATGAACACAATACATGAAGTGAAATTGAATTGCATTTTAGAAGTATTCTAGATTTTTTTCCCCATGTCCACAAAAAAAAAATAGCAATGTGTGCGATTGTAACTTTTAATTGGTTTTGATGAATGCAGAAAAGTTGTAAATCCTCTCTAAATATGCCATTTTGAATATTTGTTTAATTATTCATGCCTGAGTGTGTTATGCGTCCCATAACCACCTGGCAAAAACAACTTCATTTCACTTTTGTCTCATGCTCATTTCCACAGTTTGTACCCTAGTCCAGTTCCATGACTTGACTCTTCATGAAAGTAACCTGACTGCTATTTAACATTTTATTGTACACCCCCACCCACCCCACATGTATGCACACATGCATTTCAAAGTTGTTGTTTTTTAATAGACTTAACAGGTGGTATTCAACTATGTTTTACCCAGAGTAGACTTGTTGAAATCAATGAACATGATTTAGGCATTTTCATTAACTTCAGCAGGACTACTCTCAATAAAATTCAAATGAATACCACCCAACATATTTTGATTTAACCTGCTCCTAATTTCTTTCACTTAGCCTTCCTCTAGCTGCTTCTAGCTCCAGGGGACATCTAGACCTGTTGGCACAATTTGAACTTTGAGAGAGAGTTGGTGGTGGTAGTCACAAAAATTGGTTCTATGGGATGTGGCCTAGCACAAAATCAAAGAGATACTAAATCCTGTTGGTCCTGATTGTGGGGAGCACACAATAATGATTTCACACAGACACTAACAGTAGCAAGGAACATTCCTCAGTATCAGAAAAATATATGAGGCCATACAACACTCTGATTTAACAGAAATTAGTAATTGATTAGTAATTTGTCTATTTCCACTTAATAGTATTTTGATGGGTAAAAAGCTATTTTCCAGTGTAAAGATGTAAGCTTGGATCTTAAGTTCCCATGGGATGCTCCTACTGAAAGAAGAGGTACAAAATGGTTTCACTTATTCCATCAGCTTTCAGCCACCTGTACTGCACAAAAACCTGCTCTGGACAGCTAGGGGATGCTCTGCAAGGGTGGAAAATAGCACTGGAGGCTGCAGGAGGAAGGTAGAATTGGCAAAAATCACACCATGCCCAATTCTACTTCCAATGGAAGCTTTTGCTGGATTGGAGTCTCTTCCATTTATGGAAGCACAACTCAAACAGACTACAGATCTTCTTTGGTACATGAGTAGATTCTCATGACCTTTTTACTTTACATGAAAAAGAGTACTCTATTTCTGTCTTGTAGCAGTTAATCCCTTACTGAGCAGGCAACACTAAGAGCTGAGCATATTTCTTGGCTATATTATCACCCAACAGCTAACGTCTGAAACTAGTGAGGGACCTTCTCCACTCCACTGTTTCAAACTTATTTAAGTTTGAAACAGAACTAAACATTGGGATTTTTTAAACATTAAAATGGAAAAACAGCAACCTGATAGCCATCCCTCCTGTGTTGTATCTGAAGATTACACATACAATATTGCTTAAGATAATCAGTTTACATGGAACACGGGGGAGATAATTTATTGGCAACCAATCAAGACATGGATGGCCCTCAAGAGGAGAAGGAAGAAAAGAGATAGGAAGAACCAACCTTCATTACTGATGAACAGTAAACTAGGCCACCATGAGGGTGGAGGGAAGAACAGAAATAATTATCTTCTGTTGCCAAAATGAATTGTTATCTGAGGGGATTGGTTTACCTGTGAAGTGGTGAGCAGAACTGCATGGGAGCAAGCTTATGGAAGAGAAGAAACTTTTGTTATTCAGGAGATATAGATATAGATATAGATATAGATATAGATATAGATATATATATATATCTTAAGAGTTTTATATGTTTTGGTCTAAGAATACTATGTGGAGACTACTTTCAAGCCATTAAGGAGTGGCCGGTGTGAGGCTGCTCCACTGCTCTCCCAGTGCTGTCGTCACTGCTACTTCCTGGACACTGTAGGAAGGCAAGGCAACAGTGGGGTTTGGGCAGCATGGACAAAATTCCAGGAGCCCTAGACTGGCTCCACTGGTTTACCTACTCAGCCTGACCTTGCCCCCTCACCATCCTGATGAACGGGAGCAATGCCACTGCTGTGGCACCACTGCCACACTCCTGAGGCCATCTTGTCGCAGTAGTCCTTATTCAAGCATTGCAGATCCTGGGAAGCATAAATATGTGAGGAAAGCAGCGGGGATAAGTGTGCTAACTCCTGGCCTCTGTCAGTCTAATGTGTTTTGGAATCTGACCAAGGCAGAGTCTGCCCATTTTTGGTGTAGTTGTATAATCTCCTCTAAATATTCTTTATATCAGAGATTGCCATGATGGTACCTGCCAGATGTTGCTAGGCTGCAACTCCCATTATTCCTTGCCATTGGACATGCTGGCTGGGACTCATGATCGAGATGGCATCACATTGGCTATCCCTGTTGTGTATTACAGCTTTCAAAAGCTGCCCCATAGTATTGTTAGCTGTCAAAAAAAGGAAAAAGAAAAAAAAAGAAAAAGACAGGGGACAAACTGAGACCAAAGGACAAAAATAAGGGTTTGAAGGGTGATGTTTATCCTGAAGGTGCTAATTTCACACCAGATGATTATGCTAAATTCAGCTGCAAAAATTAGGAACCTAATGTACCTGGGTGAAAAAGTCAAAGACAGTTGAATATAGTGCTGCTGTCATCAATCCGTCATGTGCTATAGAAACAGATGTGCTTTAACTCCACCATCTGGCAGAGCTTAGCATGGTCAATGTAAGCAACTTAACATTTCAAATGCAGAAATGAGTATGCTTCAAAAATTATCAAAACATAGGTATCCTTCTCTATATATCTGAGCATTAACAAGTATTTTGAAGGTAAAACCATGATGCAACCCCTGCCCCTGATTATTCGTGAACTTTTAAAACTTTGGATTTAAGCAGTGATTTCAAATAGAACTGAAAGATGGTTTCATCACTTTAGAATCTGGCAATGCTGGGCTTTTCAGCATCTACAAACATTTGGCAAATGACAGGGAAAGAAAGCTTGGTGAGCCATCTATCCTTCAAAGTAAACTTCTCAGCAACCAATCATAGAGGGAGAAGACAATGGGGAAGGGAAAATGAAACAAAATAGCGACAAATTTAGGAAATGACATGCTTATTTGCTTTTTCCAAGGCAGTTCTTTTTTAAAAAAACAAAACCTTCTACCTGCATAGCAAAAAGAAAAGGGAAAAAAAGTTTGCTACAGTTTCCTGGAGATTTCAAGAAAATGGGTGTCATCATATATAAAGAATAGCACATGCCAAGCTATGGAGTGAAAGGCAGAGGGGTGTGCACTTTAAAATGGCCCCCAATGTTGTCAAAGGGATGTAGGCTAAAATTTGTACAACCTAAACTGAAGAACTTTTCCATTCATAGAAGAAACCTATGCAAAGAATGCAAAGGGTCATCCAAGTCCATCTCAAGTGGATTCACAGAGTTATTTTCTATGACTTTGCAGCCTTGATCAGGAACTAGTTTTCTTTCATGGTTGTTCAAGAGAAGCAGCTCACCCACCCATCCAACTAAAGTGTCTGAGAGAGCCAATTCTATTGCCATAAACACCAGTCTATGAAGTCTACAGACCTGCCTTTGGACTGATAATTTGTGAAGCATCCCTAAGAGACACCAGCTTTCTTCAAGGACTTCAAGTGGCTGCTACTAGTCTACAAGATGGGACATGCTGCCATTCTCAAGCCAATGAATTAGGGCGAATTTACACAATCAATGTATATGGCTTAGCTTTGCATGACTCATCATGTACGTTCACCAGAAGTTCTCTGTTGTCTTCTAACTGTACTACCATGGATGGAAATTCATTGGTTAGACTGGTCATTTTTCTGGTCAGTACGCAGCTTTAACCATACAGACAAACAGAGAGAAACTGCAAGTCATGGGATCTATAAATCAAGTCCTCACACTTTAAACAAAATAGGAAGGAATGGGGAGGCTAAGCAATGACTCCTTACAGCATGATACATGGCACAGCAGATTAAACCTTTCTAGTGCCATGGAGGCACACCAGTACAAACAGGCATCCCCAAGAAGACAAAAAAGAGCAGTCATTTCACAGAGGGTAGGGAATCCCCAAATTGTGTGGAGTAAGGTTATCCATGTGAATGTCTTTAAAGTCCCCAATAGGACTAAGGGAAGCAAGCCTAGTAGAATTTTGATCATTTAAATGCACTCTCAGATGAGTTAAGAGGTGGGAAAGCTACCCATTTATTGCAGGAGCATCATTATGTATGCAGTATGCATGCAAGCCAGTGAGAATGACTGCTATCAAATTAGCTGCTAGCATTTACTCCATACTTTAAAAAGGATACAACTTCGCTATTTTCAAGTTCAAAGTGATGAACAATTCAGCAATCCCATAACATAATTTCCAGCAACAACAAAACCACTATGCAAATCTTGGCCAGAATAAAAAACCAGGTTAGGCCTCACAAACAGATTTACCTTGGGAAGCCTGTTTCAAATACTGGGAATGTGAAAAGGGCATACCTCCCGCAAGAAAGGTATGTAGTTTAAGGATGCTCTTGGTACCCAGATGGCCTCCATGGCAAAGAGTGCCTACCACCAACTTTGGCTGGTATGTCAGTCACTTCTTGGGCAACAATAGCTTGTCAACTGTGACTCATGTGCTGATGACCTCACATTTAGATGGTAGTGAGCATTTTCTTTACTCTCCCAAGAAACTGGCTGTTCCTCATTGCAGGAAGACCAGTGATGTGTTGTTAATAAAAACAGAAGGATATATAGCAAAAATGATGGCTGGAGAGATGCTTCCAGGTAGCAATTGAGTTTTGAGCATGATAAAGGAGAAATTCACACCAAGTGGTAGTAGAAGGGAAGAACAGGAGAAGGTATGTTCAGGGCAGGGGCGGAGGAAGGGGGGTAGTATGGGTGGCCCGCTCCAGGTGTCATCACTGAGGGGAGTGACATTCGGTGTGCCGCCCATCCGTAACTCCCAAGCCTACCCCGAGCTGTCAGGGGAACGGGCGGAGCCACACTGCCTTACCATCTACCTTTCCCCCTTCCCCCTTCATTTCGACAGCTCAGGGGAGGCTTGGGAGTTGCGGGCAGGCGGTGTGCCATTGGCCCTCACTCCCGGGCTGCTTCCGGGGGGAGGAGGTCTCCCCCAAGCTGTCAAAAGGAACAGGGAAGGGAGGAAGGCTGCTGGCAAAGTGGCACGGCTCCCCCCCCCCGCCACCCAGGAAACAGTCCGCCATGGGCAGCTGGCTCCATCCCCCCTGGGCAGCTTGCTCTGCACCCATGGGCGGCTTGCCCCCAGAACGCTTGCTGTGGCACATCGCTTGGACACTCGCCCCGCTCCCCTGGGATGCTTGCCCGGCCCCCATGGCCCCGCCCCTGAGTGCACAACATGTGCGCCGCTCCAGGTGCCAGAGCAGCTAGTTCTGCCTCTGGTTCAGGGTTGTCCTGACTGGTTATTGACTCACTTGAGTACTTTACTGCAGGACACTGAACTCTCTTCTGCACTGGAGATACAGGCTAGCTGTGTATGTCATGTTTAAATACCCTTTTGGTCAATTCACTCCTGGTGCTTGGTGGTGTCTGCCTCTTGATTCCTTGTCCATGCAAACAATTTGTTTCCTACATGTGAAGCAGGGATTGTTAGCATTTCCAAATTGGTTTCAAATCCAGTTATTCACAAAATGATAGTTTTGTTTTGATGCTAAGTAGGGCAGACAACACGGCTAAGGTTTAGTAAACGGAATTTACAGGCTGTTCACTTTGTAGTGAATGGGTGCAATCCAGCTCTCTTTTATTTTTTTAAGTCAGTTATCATAGGCTTCAATAGGAAATAGTTTATACTCTGGATTTCCTGCCAAAATCTACTCTACAAGTAAACTGAAACAGGGGAAATAAATTACTGTGCATTTTGCTTCTCCCCCCAAAAAATAAACGTGAGGAATCAGAAAGACACCATCTGTTAAAATAATTTTGTATTATTCGCATTGACAGCAATATACACAGGTCCCAGTTTCTGGGTTTGGCTTTGTTATTGCATGCTCTCCATTGTTGAATAATCTAGTCTTGTATATATGGCTTATCCTTGCTATTTTAAGCACCCCTATCTATTTATTAAAGGGATTCATAATCATGTAACTAGCAATTGTTTGAAACATATGAAATCCACATTCCAGAGGCAGAATGAACACGGGATGAACAGCCTCATTTGGATGCTTGAACACAGAAGTGCTTCAGGGGACAAATAGTAACTGCTATGCCAGAACAATACAAAATTGCAGAGATGCTACTATGGAATGAAAGTTAGATATGAATGTCAGTTATCTAGAGCAAGAACTTAATTGAGGGTTTCATAAGGTTGTGGGAAATGACATTTTATAAATGTTAGTGGTTAATATGATTAAAGTGTGAATATGGAAACTTGACCAGGTGTTTTGTTTTTTTGAATTTGCAAATAAAATTTATTATACCTTCATGAAGGTTTTGATAATAATTCCTGTTTGTGACTCCCACTATTTTTTAAATTCAATATACTATATGCAAAATGTGGCTGATTGAAATAGTTTTAATCCAATAATTCATCAATTGATTGACTTTGATTTAAAAATATTTCATGGTTTTAAGATAAATAACTGAAACAAGGGTTAGGTAGTCATGCGCTGTACTATTATTTTGAATCAATAAATGTTTTAAACAAATAAAAAATGCTGGATAGGGTATATTCCAACTCATGACATGACTTTGCTGTTTGGATATTATATAACTAATGTGCCACAAATTTTGAAAGAAAGAAAAAAGACCTGTGGGGGGGGGAGGGGTGAAGGAAAATGCAACCCTTGAGTAAACTGATGGAAAGTGTTGTTAAAGCCAGAATGATAAAGCATGGAGAAGAACAAGACTTGCTGAAGAAGAATCAATATGGTTTCTGCAGCAGCAAGTCCTGCCTCATCAATTTTTGGGGATGTTTTGAGATTTTCAACCAACATTGGGTAAAAAGAAAATCTAACATTACATACACACTAGTGAGAACTGAATGCTTTTGAATTATGGTGCTGGAGGAGACTCTTGAGAGTCCCATGGACTGCAAGAAGATCAAACCTATCCATTCTTAAGGAAATCAGCCCTGAGTGCTCAATGGAAGGACAGATCCTGAAGCTGAGGCTCCAGTACTTTGGCCACCTCATGAGAAGAGAAGACTCCCTGGAAAAGACCCTGATGCTGGGAAAGATTGAGGGCACAGGGAGAAGGGGATGACAGAGGACGAGATGGCTGGACAGTGTTCTCGAAGCTACTAACATGAGTTTGACCAAACTGTGGGAGGCAGTGGAAGACAGGAGTGCCTGGCGTGCTCTGGTCCATGGGGTGAAGAAGAGTCGGGCATGACTAAACGACAACAACAAAACACAAAAAGAAACTTGGGGTAGTCGATAGCTTAGTAATGTAGCAACATAAACGGATAAATTCCAAACTAGGAATAAGTAGGAAAGGATCTGAAAATAAAATGGCCATGCCTTACACAAATCTATGTTGATGTGTATATGTGGCAATACACAATGTATGGGGCACACTGCCACTTGCTTAAAGGGGGGATTGGTCAAATTAATGGGGCATAGGTGGATGAATAGCTAATAGCCAGGTTAGCTAAACAGAACCCCCATATTCTGAAATTATATGCCACTCAATGCCAGTTTTGGGGGAAGCAGGCAGAGTGTGTAAAGAGAGGTATTACCTTTATGCCCTGCTTGAGGGCTTCCTGGAGGTATCTGATTCTACACTGTAAAACCAGGATATTGAACCAGATAAACCTTTGGTCTGCTCCAGCAGAGCTCTTATCCTCTTCAGCTTCAGTTGTTAGCATTTCGTCTTTTAGTTTTATGAAAAATGAATCAATTTCAATGCTTCTCCACATTAGTGAGTTTGTTTTATTTCTGTATGCCAACTGCAAATGCTCAGTTTTTAATATATAGGATGAATGAGTGACATTGCCAATATACTGTTGTACATAATTGTATTTTGGGGTGTCCATTTTAAATCAGTCCATTAAAGTAACAGATTTTATACATTAGTTTAGCTTGAGCATGGGTTGCGATAGTACCCAAGGTAGGCAGCCGCTATCCATCATTGTCTTGGGTAAGTTCTGCAGCTGTTCAGTTTTCAGCCATATTCACTTAAGATTTTGCTAAAGGCACTATCTTTCTCTTTAACAAGCTTAGCTAAGCTGTTACAAGCACATGGCAATTTCTGCTTGTTTCATATAATCTGATGGGATGAAATTCTTTTTACCTGCACTAGAAAATAATTGCTTGCCTATCTTATACAATATTCTCATATCTTATCCCATGTGGTTCGAACTGGGAGGGATTTTTCCCTGGTTTGCCTGCCTGAGCTCTGCAGTGTCTGCAGCTCTCTTTCCATCCATTTCAGAAGCTGGGAATTTCATTCTGATATAACCACAAGAGTATACATCACACACACACACACACACACACACACACACACACACACACAGCTACTACTACTAGATGTTAAAACTTTCTTAGATGCTTAGATTTCTTCATATTTTGTTATATTACGACAGAGAACTGTTTAGAATTGGCTAAATAAGCTACCAAGCTCCTAAAATATATGTGGAATGTATAGTTTCTGTTCATCCTGGAAGTGTACTAAAAAGGGATCCTAGCATTTGAATTGGGTAGAGGGTTCAATATGCTGAGGAAAAAATCTTAAAATACATTACAAACTCACGCAAGTCTGAATCAGCCCTTGCAATTTGTCACAAAATGACATAATAACATTAGAAGAGCTTGCTGAATGAAGTCAGTGACCCATCAAGCAGGACCAGAGTACAAGACCTTCCTCCTATGGTTTCAGGCAACAGGTTTTCAGAAGCATTACTGCCTCTGGCCATGGAGGCAAAGGATAGCCATCACAGCCAGTAACCATTGAGAGCCTTTTCCTCCATAAATATATCCCTGTTGCTCCATCCCCTTTCAATGCAAAGGGTAGAAAGCAGGGAAGGTAGAAAAGGGCATCTTATATTTGTGACTATCCATCCATCTCACTACCTAGGCAGGCAGGCTAACTTGCCTAGCCTACTCTAGAAGTTGAAATAAAGCTACTTAGCAAACTTAGAAGCACAATTTCCTGCCAGGAGCACAATAGGACCTGAAGTTTGAAAATACATATTGAAGTTCTGGAATCATCAGAGATGACTGCCCTGCCTCCCCCTCTGACTTATCCCTTCCACTGACAACAACTCTTCATGAATATATCATTTTTTTATAGCAAAAGGCAAGGATCATCCTTCTTTGTTTGCAATCATTCTATATAATCATGACCTTGAGCACTGGTGCCAACTCTATAGGCTGAGGTGTCTTCGACCCCTCAGTATCTGTGGGGAGGGGGCCAGGCCCCCTCAATGTTGAGGTGGTGGAGGAGGCCAAGTGTGGAGCCAAGAGCAGTGTGGTTCAATGGCCGGCTCCTCCTGAGAATATGAGAGGAGGAGCCACCGGCTATTGAAGCCGTGCCATGTTGGACTCCACACTTGGCCTCCTCCCGATGTGGTGGTATCAAACATGCATGATGTCACACACACTCAATGCGCGCTGGGCCCACTCAATCTTGGGCACAAGTTGGTACCTCTGCCCTTGAGATCTTCTGAGGACTTGCAGCAAAAGATGACAAAACCCAGCTGTACAATAAATGTACAAGTAATTTTCTTAAAGTTTAAATTTTTTTTTAAAAAATGTTTTAAATGATTTTAAAAGATTGTACCCCTCCCTCCTTATGCTGGTCTACGACTGTAATAAAGCGTTGCTGTTGTACAACAATGTCTGAGTTGCAATCTCTCAGGTTGCTGAGTTGCTGACATACATATGGATTGTGTGATTAGCCTGGTAAGAACAATGGGAGAGACTCAATGGGAGAAAACACATTTAGAGAAACTAACAAGTATTTGTAGGATACCCAGAAATGCAGCACACATTCATAAATGGGCTCTCTCTGCACTTAGTAGGACTGGTTCTATGCTGTTTGTGTCTACATCTATTGGAAATTCTCTTTGGTGTTATTATCACAGTATGAAAACAACCTCTTGGGCTATATACACTTTCACACAAGCACTATGAGCATTGTATTAAAGGCAAGAAGTCAAATAGCCTATGATGATTAAAGGAAACCCTTCATATTATATTTGACATATGTTTGAAGGATATAGTAATGAAAATTTAGCAACAAGCAGAACAGAATTGGCATTAAATAGCGTTATGGAGGAAAGGTGAGCCAGCTAGTATCCTAATTTCATTGCTTTTAAGTAAGAAACCCTGGAAGATTTGGGCAGAAAGTTGCCACACAACGTTCTCCTTCTCATCTTCAGCAGAAACATCTGAAACTTGATAAACCAACGACTTTAAGAAAATGCCATTTTCATTGCATTCCTTGCATATTTAAAATACACATAAATAAGGATTCCTCCCATACTAGAAGCACTGACAGCTGGTAACTGCAAATGGGCATCTGCAGTAGATATTTCACTTTGGGGGGTGGGGACTTTCTGGATTTGCACATACCTTTACCGGGTCTGAAGCATCTGATCTGATGGAAGAGAAAGTGACATAGTGAAGAGCACTTTCCCTTCCTTGGACAAGTTCAATTATTTATCCCCCCCCCTGCAGAGTCAGAGCCCCCCCCCCCGCAGAGTCACCTCCATCTATAAAGGCAGCAAATCCACAAACAATGGTTTAATATGGGATGGCACTTTGCACCAAATCCTTGATGGTGGAAAGAAATGTGAAATATCTCTGGCCTTCAGGGCCAAGACCACGAGTAGAACTTATTCTTCCCATTCTGCAATGTTTCTATAGCTAATGTTAGGATTCTTGCTCCGTGTTTGCCGTCATGGGATTGTTGTCTATCACATGACGGTGTATGTTTTCATTCCACAGTGTGGGAAGTGATGGAGACAGGATGTTTTGTACTACTGTGTTCCAGAATGTAGGACTATTGTCCTTTGTTTCTTTCTCTTTGCTGTCTGATGTAAAAAAGGAAGGAGCTAAGTCAGAATGCTCCGAGTGTATTATATGTAAATAAATGTAGATTAGCCAAATTGCTGAGCTACTGAGTCTTGTTACTTGAACCACCAATACTCTGAAGGATCCCTAAGCATGCTAATGCCTTTTGGTATCAGTCGCTGTGATGTTCAGGCTGGAGAAAGCTTTTGAAGCTCCTGAATGACCGACCAGGAGGGAGAGAACATGCCAGTTGGGCATGTGTCTCTACCAGGGTCCTACATGAGAGTAGGACGATCCTAACAGCTAATACATAACTTATTGGACGACTTTCATTGTTCCCATGGTACTGAATGATCCCAAAAGTATAGGCAGGAAGAA